TAATGTCTGTCTTGCCACAATTAGGATACATAGATACATTCATTCATTTGGGTAGCATGTTAAGAGCCTAAACTAATATATTTATATATTTATTTATTCAACTTGTTCATGATATCAAAAACAGGAAGTTGAATCAACTTATTTCGTAAAATAAATGACACTGAAATTGAAAGGTAAACGTTGTTCGTGTCTTACGCACGAAACATTCAATTCTAAAATAGTAGATAATTACTTACACACTGTCCACGACATCCAAGCATTTAATTTGTAACTGTTGTATATACATAGATTGCTTATTTTTTGAAATATATCTTTCTTTGGAGACGAAAAGTGTTGAAGTTAAAAATAGGTAATGAAGCATGTATGTTTATAGACGCCTAATAGTTTCTGGTTGCACTCGTAAGTTAGACTGTCCCCATTTTTATTCATAAGTTATCGTTGTTAATTTGGTTTCGAAAGGTAAGATCTAGTTTATTTTTCTTCTTCTTCTTCTTCTTCTTCTTCTTCTTCTTCTTCTTCTTCTTCTTCTTCTTCTTCTTCTTCTTCTTCTTCTTTTTATTATTATTATTATTATTATTATTATTATTATTATTATTATTATTATTATTATTATTATTATTATTATTATTATTATTATGATGATGATGATGTACAATTTCCTTAAAGTGATTAAACATATACAGTTATAAAAAGTAATTACTTACGTTCACATATTTTAACATGCGAATATAATAACAGTCCATGAAATTATTGTGCAGTGTTCTGTTTACTGATTGGCTGCGATCGTGGGAAAACTTTTTTTAACCCCGCATTGTTTTGCTTTTTGCTTTTGTTTTCACTTTGAATATTTTGGAGGTCATTTTTCGAGTCTATTCAAGGAAGGGAATTGTGTAAAATGGTTTCGTCTATCACAAAATTGTCAATTTACCACTACAGGGCCTTGCTACGTCGTGCAAAACATATCGTCATATGAAAAATAGCGTAACCCTCCCCCAAAAAGAACAAGAACAAGCAAAACTAACGCTATTGCTCAGTTTATAGCGGGTGTGCGGGTTGGGGATGTAGGGGGATGCGGCAAGCATCTAACGCGAAATCCACCCTATATCAATACAAGCATGGCTTAATTGATAACTTACAGGCTTAAACTCACATCTATGAACAGAAAAATTTGGAAATAAACCGGTCTCTCAATTGACAGAACTTTATGAAACCACAGTATATTTATGCGTTATATATGTGATGCAATTCCGACACAATATGAAATTTGTGTTTACTGTTGCAACTTAATTAATGCAAATATCCCGTCACAAATACATTGCAGTAAATATGGGAATTTCTGCATCCAGTATTCCCCCATACATATGGATGCTGCAATACTGTAACGTTTAGTTATGGGAGTGCGACATTACACGCATTGGACATTCTGTGTTGGAAAATGATTTTGTCAGTGTAAAATGTTCTGTCTGTTCGGAGTGACGCTTGATCTTTGAATTATAATTTATAGAAAAAAGTATAATCCACATTTAAGCGTTAATACTAGTTCAACTTCGATTCCGACTGTTTTAAGCACAATAAGTTAAAGGTGCACGTCTCAGTCAAAACAAATCAAGGCTTGCAAAGTATAAACTCGTTTACAAAATTAAATATTAAATCAATACCCATTTAATATCCTTTTTTAAATAAATCTACATACTATATATGTAACAGACAATCATCAACTATTTGTCTTTCATGAATATATCCGTGATATTTTGTACATTGAAATGTGATAGATGCGGACTGCTGAAAGAAAAATATTAAAATAGTATTAATAAAAATCATCAAATGTACACTTTATCCAGTAAAACAAACGTATTTACTTGGTATGTGTTAAAATATACATATCTAGTTTTCTATTTCTTAAAATCACTTAACCAACAAACAATATTAAAACAAAACATGTTCATAGTGATATCACTGAAATTTATAAAAGCAATGCAAATAAAGGATCCTTTGTGATATTTGTTGATAAGAAGAAACGAATGATTTCATAGCGCTTAATAAATATTATCAATAGATGATATAGGTAAATCAAAGTTGTTTTAAGGTAAATGGACCGTTTCCTGGAGATGAAAGCTCTTTGGGTCACACAATTTACTTTGCCATCTAATCTAAACAAAATCTATCTATTCTAGGTATAAATTTTCCGATATCTGCTGCCCTAACGAAAAACACAAAAAGCGCAATTAAATCTTTCACAAATATTTAGAAGTATTAAAGTAGAGTTCTATATAAAAACATGAATAAATAAAATAACCGAGAAATGACTCATTCATACATCAGAGCATTCCAGTTTGCTTTCTTCCATCAATGGTTCAGGAGATTTTGAGAGCAGATACCATCATTTGAGTCCTATAATTTGGCAATGTTTTCATTAGAGCATGTCGTTTGATGTTTAAACATTATTCGTGTTAATCCTAAAAATATCCTCGTGACAAAGTAGAGGATTCCTCTGCTATATGATATGTGTGTGTGTGCGTGTGTGTGTGCGTGTGTGTTTTATTTACAAATTTCTCATTCGCTAATTAATATAAGCATCAGTCCGAACACTCAAACATGTGAGAGGTGCGAAAGAGAAGTGCTCGAATAGTTGTCTAATATACTCCGATTGGTGTTTAAAGTTGTTGTCTAAGTGCAAAGCACAATGCATGACCTAGGGGGTGTGTTTGTATGGAGAGAGAGAGAGAGAGAGAGAGAGAGAGAGAGAGAGAGAGAGAGAGAGAGAGAGAGAGAGAGAGCGTTATTCACTCATTTTATAAAAGGAAGGTAACTTTGGAAAATCTTAAAAATAAAAATTAGAATTTATCATCGTTTAAAGGCAATTTACTTAAAGAATAATGATTTGGGTACCTTTTAAATTAAAATTTTTGACAGAGCCACATTAATACAATCTTTATATTCCTGAGGTTTAGATTAATTCAGAAAGCATGAATTATTCTTGTAAAAGAAAAGATAAGGCACGAATCTCTTTTGTAAAGGAAAAGGTGTGTGTTTGTGTGTGTGATTTAGACTTTTGACGTAGCTTTAATAATTTTTCAGTCATATCGCTACGATGTTTGCAGTGTGACATTTTATAGTGATTTCTAGCACTGGGACATGTCACATTATCCTGACACCAGGCCGATCAGTCTTAACACTAACCTCTTAATGCTGAGAGCAAACAACCTCCCGCATCCGAATCGGACTCTCTAACGACTAGGCCACCGGAGCGGTGAAAAGAGAAGGCATGAATTACTCTTATGACAGCAAAGAGAAGGCATGAAAAGCTATCTTGGAAGGAAATAGGAAACATGAGTCGCTATTGTACAAACTAAGAGAAGGCATATATCGCCACGGTTGAAGGAAAGAGAAAGAATGTGCAAGCAAAGTCTTAAAGTTTTGAAAGCAATACATATATGAACCTCTTATTTATTCAATCAAATAACTATAAAATAACTTCATGTTTTTTTTTCAAATCAAGAAGATGATCATCAAATTTACAAGAAGTATACAATGACGAATTAACACTAGTCTAGTTGGTACCAACCAAATATATGATAATATATATTGTGGAGAGAAAACAAAACGTCATGCAGGTCATGCAGTTACTTCTGTTTACAAAAAGGGGCATCATAACTAATGCAAATGTTATGTCAGAGCCTTGAAAATACACTTCTACATATTTGTTAGAAATTTTACAATAAAGCATACAGGTAATGCACAAAAAAGTTATTTTGACTAATATTAGCGGATAAATTCCTTTCTTATGATAGTGACATGCAATGAGTAGTATTTCTATATTCTTGTTTTTTGTATGTAAGTATGCATAGTTTTCAGCAAACATACACAAAGCCAACACATTCTAAAGTTTGTTTATTTACATGTTTAATTGATCGACAATCTTTGCTACAAATCCATTATGTAAAGACTGTAAATTGAAATGATCTTACAGTGAATATACACACAACCTGTTGTATCGGATGTGTGTGTGTGCCCGCCTGTGCGTGTGTGTGTGTTGATGGTACCAGTATGCTGAAGCTAATACCCCCTTGTGCGTAGATACTAAAAAAACTCACACCAAACTGTAAAGAAAACAAATACAGCCCACTTGTAAATTTAAATATCACCACGCACCTGAGGTAGCAGAGCAGTGGTTAAACGTTGCAGTATCGGGCCACAAATGACACGTGGTGGTTAATGGGAATTTAACATTAATCCATATAAAAACATTATGAATTACCTATAATTATTATAATGGTAATGTTATAAACTTAATGTGAACAACATACACTATATTGCTCACCAACATCCGAGCTTTACGTACAAATACCCATATCTACTAACCAACACTTACATTTATTCAACCAAGAATTAGGATGCAAAATTAAGGTGGTGATATAGCAGTTTAAATCTTTAATAAACATGACCAAAATGTTGTGATTCACCCATGTAGTTTCCAATATTCCCCTCATCAACAATGCAAAAATCCATTTAGTATCCCCGTAACTCTGGCAAGGAAAAATAAGGAGAGAAAATGGTAAGAATATACACACATTGTTTTGAAATTTACTATTTTCGAAATAATATCTGTTGGCCTATCGTTAAGTGTTTATGATGCTTTAAAAAAAAAACATAAGCTATAGTGAACACACATTTTTATTACAACGTCAAATGGTGGAAAAACAACATCATGACGAGGAAAAGAGAAAATAATTAGAATAAATGAAAACTTTAAGTGTTCGTGTGTGTGTGATCTGGTTTTAACGTAGGTTGAACAATTTTTCAGTCATATCGATACGATGTCTGCAGCGTGGTAATTTATAGTGATGTCCAGCACTTGGGCATCACGCTGCAGACATGTAGTATGACATCCCACCCACTCACATTATTCTAACATCAGGCCGGCTAGTCCTTACACTAAGCTCGTAATGATGAGAGCAAAGCGAGGCAGCTGTTAGTACTATTTTTATAAGTCTTTGGTGTGACTCAACTGGGAATCGAACCCACGACCTTCCGCATCTGAGGTGGTCGCTCTAACCACTAGACCACCGGAACGGTCAGAAAGGTGAGAAGAAGGAAGAAAGTGAAAAAAAACTATTGAGCATGACATTTAGACAGAGGTAAAACACCTGAATAAAATGTAATAAAATTGGTTGATGAAACTCAAGAGAAAGAGTCCTTTACAAGAATTCTAGACTTTCCATGTCAACATCGAAATCTACCAATGAGACACCAGCAGCGACAGCAGGCGCTATATCCAGTACAGCAGCTGCAGAAGCAGCAGCAGAACTTGGGCGTCAAACGATTTAAGTCTGTTTCATCTGATGCTGAGAATTTGATAATTTGTCCCTCAAAATACAAAAAGACACTCTCTGTGTCATCCAGATCTCTTAGATGATAATACAAATCAAATTCCAGCACACATTTGTTTGTATACATGTGCGTCTGTGTGTAATTAAATTTTTAACTCTAAAACAAAAACAAATCAATACATAAACTCATTTACGTTTATGGTATATTCTCGTGAATAAGAACCACAATGTAATCTCAAACACATTATAAATTACATTTTTTTAATTTATACATTGTTTCTTATTTAATGGGTTCTTCACATCCTTCTTCTCTTCTATTTTCTTATTCAGTTTGCTGTACTTGTCTTGGGTTTTTCCGTTCTATATTTTATATTCTTCAGTTTCATCTTGTTCCTATGTTTTTCTTTCTTCAATGGAATAGGTTTTCTTCTGTTTCCTTTTCTTTGAATACTTATAATTGCTTGATCTTTGTTAATATGTTTGAAAACTCTGAAGACCAAGCCAAAGATGAAAGATGTATTTACATTTATATATGGATCTTTGTTTCTACTATTATGGGGTGTCTTTTCTTTGATAATTTGGACTTCTCTGGACATAACAGGTATTAACTATAATGGAGTACTCAACAATCTTGTTGCAGGTATATTTTCCAGTGAACATCTGTAAATCTCTGACAGAAGTTTAATTTAATAGGACTCTTTGCCACACATTGAAACAAAATAAGTATTTACCCTTGTGTGTGTTTGTGTGTAGAGAGAGAGAGATAATTATATATAAAATATATATAATATATATATATATATATATATATATATATATATATATATATATATATATATATATATATATATATATATATATATATATATATATATATATATACTTTTTGCCAGAATTTTAACCACTGCGAATTTGAAGAGGACATTAGTGATAATATCAGCACCATACCAAGATATTCAATATCGGCCAAGAAAGAAGGATTTTCGATAGCCATGGAGATTATGGTTACATTAGGTCTACTCAAAATTAGATTCATATGATTTTTATAACTATTGCTTAAACTTACACTGTTAATGGTAGAAGTCTGTTGTCTTTGCACAGAAATCCGCCGTCGTCATACTCGCCATAACGAACTTACTGGAGTTTTTGTTGGTGGTGATAACAAGATAAAGAGAAGAGCGTTTGAGACTGTCCATCATTAAAGAAAGCATTAAATCTGTTCGGATTGAATTTAGTACACCTGCTGTATTAACTTTTTTTTTCAAAATCTTAGACTTGACATGAACTGTGGAAACTATAATTTCATTTGATACATGTTTTACCTTCCAGATCAGATGCGTTTCGTCAGTGCAATCGAGGTGGCATGAACTTATGTATAGAATTGAAAGGATTAAAGGATAACGTTAGTCTATCGAGTAGTCAAACAACAAAGAGAAACAAAAGTCATTTCGAAACAGACATAAACATTTCAAAAGAGATCGAACGTGGAGTCTCTGAAACGAATAAACCTAAGATGTGATCGTCTTTAGTTATACATTGAAAGTGTGCCTTTAGATCCTTCTGTTCGAGGACGGAATTTTGAAGACGGAAAATTCATTCACATTTTTCATCACCTACGTCATTTCAATGTTTTTACAAGCATTGCAGGATTTCTTGGATACGGATGTGACAGATATGTCCAAGGATTTATCAATCAAGAGCAATATATTCGTTGTGAGAGAGGTTTGGGCTGTTTAGCGTTGAGACTTTCTATTTCTGATTGACAAGAACCAATGCTCTGTCTGCTAAGCAACCATTGTGATGCGTCCAGCACGTTACTATTTATTATTCCATCAAATGAAATGGGTCTGTGAATATTGCCAACTTTGGACGTCATGTACGTACCATTAAAAATGATTTGTTTATTCAGGAAAGACAAGATGTCATATTTGTGGCCGAGTTGGAACTTCAGTGTTATATGCAAAGATATGACAACAAACCCAACGAATTATTAATTGACCAGAATAAGAAAAATGAAACCAGATATTTCTGACTTGTATTTGGCTCATCGCCCTTATTACGATTTTATTCGAGAAATTTTGTCACTGGATTTGAAAAGATCTTTCGCGGCTCCCATACACTTTCTGATTTTGGTGAGTGGTAGTTAGATACCTTGAGCGATCAGGTGGGTGGATCGTTTAAGGAATTATCATCAATACAAGTGTCATTGCTCACAATGTATGAAGGCTTGATGAACAATTTCTTTCCAATATTATTGAGAACAAGGAACTAAATGGAAAAGTCATCTTCATGATTGAGTCAAAATCATTTACACAAAACTGGCAAACGTACAATTTAAACAGTTAATGCATTATTTGGCTGTCTTCGAATAGACTGCCTAAAACGTTTACAATGAATGACAGAAATGGCTAAAAGCTATTTTCCACCAAATTTGTAAATACCAGAACAAATGAACGTTTTCATTACACTGACTCCGATTGTATAAGAATATATTAATAGCACGCTTTTACGCTTGCTATATTGCCCACTCTATAGGCCCTTTTCATTTTCAGGAAGAAATGTGAAATATTGTCGAGCCGATATCACATTTACTACGCAGTTGTAGAAAAGTTTTACAGTTTTTGCTGGAGCACTGCGGTACCGAAAACAAATACATTTAATATTGCCAAAAAAGGTATATTAGTGTACCAAAAGAGGTTCATATTTGAGAACATATTAGCCATCCACCATTTAATTTCTATAAATCCGTCATTCGTCTATATTCATCAACAGGTTTATGATGGTTAAATTACTTCTGTGAAACTCAAGACCAATAACAAATTATGGAAACCGTGGAGATAAGAAAATTGGTTCTTATTACTTGGTTGATTGGTATTTAAAAACTCACAAATCCGTTACGAATTTTAAAGATGTTTATTTCATGAATAAAAGTTATTATAACCGTGACCCGAAAATCTTTGACAGTGTTCGCTATGGAAGAGCTTACGGCAGATGCCAGAGTTTGGAAAGTCAGTGATGCCAATTAGTAGAAATGTAGAAACAAAACTGCGTTCAGTGTTTCAAAAAGGGTCTAGAATTTCGGCGCATCGTGGAAGATGAAGTGGACTCGTACATTTGCTTAGAAGACGAACCCGTGCTACACTCGTTTTGCAAAATCTCTGATGAAGTTTGATGAATGCAAATGAAACAGGTTGATGTGTGTTGATTATATCCATGGATGTGTAAATATGCTCTATATCCTACTAGTCACCCAGAATTTGTGCCATAACACATCGACGTGGCACAATTCGTCAGTAAGAAGGTTTGATCAAATGTAAAGTTCTTCTTCAGCCGAAAGTGCCATTCCGTATTTCCTTATTATTGCCATGTCTTACGTGTGCTGAATTATATAATATACTCCAGCTTAGTCCTCACGGTAACTAAAGACTCACCTGGACAGGTACATTTACTGAGTATTGAATTATTTCATGCTCGTCATCGTGGATACCAATAGCTTCAAGTGTTAAAATGGAGCACTTGCAACAGTACAGGCTATTTAAATGCAGCGAGTATGATTGAAAAAATCTTATAGCTCATGGTCACTTTGGAAGTCAGGTAAGCATCACTTTACATACAGGTATTCGGGTAAAACGTTTTCCTTGCCAGGAATTTGTTAAGACTGTGTCAACAAGTTTCTTAAGTTAAAACAAGAAGCCAGCGTCTATCCTTCTTGGTTGCACTCTCCAGAAATAAAATATTTGTCAAACAACATTATCGAAAGTTACCTGGTATTTTCAGGTCCAATAAACTGAAGAAAGACGATTGTCCACTAAATGCATAATGAATTGTTTGAGGCGAAAACTGGCAAAACGGAATATATTGCCAAAGACCGAATATTTGGTGGATCCAAGTCAATTCTTTCAGCTCATTGATAATACAGAAAACTCATCAAACACGTGGAAATCTAGACAGATTAGACTGTACACATAACAAAATATAAGTCTCTTCTCCATATAACTATTATAACTAGTTTCATATTCTGATGGCCGTTTTATGGTTGTCTTTGTAGAGGAAGGTTATATCTGGCATGTAAAGAGTTTGAAGCGATTTCATACGTGCATCGCTAAAAAAAACAAGTTCATATTGCACAGTCATACAGAAGAAGAATCTTTCTTCTTGTCATCTGTTGTGGTTTCGAGTCGACAAGAAAGTTATTACTGACTCGCTGTTCCACGGCTACTTAATCACTTGACATTGACGGTAAATCCGCTAGTGTAAGCTGTTCATTTGAAAAACAATACATTATTAAAATATGTCTGCATTGTTAAATACCAAAGAAACTGGAATTGAAATGCCCGTAGTAATATCTTTACCCAGAACAGTGCACAGCAAAAAGTATCATATTCACACCCATAAAAGTATATCATAATCCCCAAATAATTCAAATTAATTCTACATGACGAATTACCAAAGCAAAACAGTAACACATAATTCCTAATCAATTCAAATTAATTCAACATGTCGTATCACCAAAGCACAAGTAAATCTGCTGCCTGAGAGGTTCCTCATTGAATCAGAAGTATAGCCGCTTGAGGAAAATATGGCTATGACGTGACATATTTAGATCCAGGTCTCCACGATTGGTACAATATATTCGGTCTCACTAACGAAGCTGTTCTTATTAATTACAATATACACAACGGTGCTTCTCTCTTCTGCAATAGGAGCATGTCGATAAAAATACAGACGATCGGAGGATGTTTAGCTT